GGGGGGGGGGGGGGATTGGGGCCTGGAGACCCGTTGGCCCACCAGCATCCACGCAAGCTGTGGCAGGAGGTGTGTTCTCACTTGGCAGAGGCACAGACTTGGGCCCACAGACGGGAGCCATGTCTCCACACCACCCCGCAGGTGATTACCACAGTGATGTAGAAGCTTTGAGGGTCAGACGGCCCACCAGCTCTTGACTCTATGTATTTGTGCATTGGGCAACTGCTTTCACTTCGCTGAGCCTCTTCTCCCCTCGGTGAAATGGGGATAGCAATACCTTCCATCCAAGTGTGGAGGGATTAAATTCTCTGACTCCAAGAGAGGGCCTAGCCCGAGGAGATGCTCAGCAAATGGTACTGGGATCATGGGTGGGTCACCTGCCACAGGCTCTCAGCCAAAAAACAGGGACGGGTTCCACTCGTGTGTGTGTGTGTGTGGGGGGTTATCCATGTGTGTCTGTGTGTCACGTGATGCAAGCTCCCTCCGGCTCACCTGTCAGCAGGAAGACAAGAGTCAAAGACACAGAAGGCAGAAGCATGGGCTGTGGGTCTCCAGCTCAGAGCTGAGACCTCCATGTCTCCACAGGTCCCTTCTTCTGGCTAATTCCACAGGGGTACAGGAAGGAGCAGCAACCCTAGAATTCTCTGGAGGCCTCTGGGTCAAGCTGTGAACCCTGCCCAAATCCTCGGGAGGAAGGCCCTTATCTGTGAACTTACCTGCCATAGTATAAGATGGTTTCGGGCTTGATGGCTCCATCTAGGTGGACATGCAATTCCACCTACAAGGGGCAAAGGAAAGAGAGAGCACACACACATCCATGAATGCCTGAAGAACCTTCCAGAGAGTGAGTATTCATATTAACCATGATAACCATTAGTTACCACTTACTGGACACCTAACCACATACACATCACTAAACTCGACACACGCCATCTTGTTCAAGCCTCATCTATGGGGTGGACTTAACTGCTTCTCTAGCTTTTTCACAGTTGAGGATACAGAGGTTCAGAGAGGTTAAATAACTTGTCCAAGGCCACACAGCAAGCCCATGATGGAAGCAGGAACCCAACCCAGTGCCTTTGGTCTTAACTACAGGTGGTAAGTGGCCGAACCAGAACTCTAACCTGAGCCAATTCTAAAGCTGGGGCTCCTGGACACGAGGCCAGCCATGGTCCCACAGGAGCTACCGAGCCCCAGCCACCCGCCAGCGATCCTGCTATCGGCCAAATCATTAAACGAAATCCAACTGGAACAAAAAGTGTTGACCACAGACCTCCTGGACTAGGGAATCACACAACATATTTCAAAAATCAGGCTCCATTTTCAAAAGCAGGTGCTACTCAAGCATAGCTTAGCAGGAATCGATCTTAGGCAGCACAAGATTTTTCCAGTACTCTAGAAAGGAAACTAGATGCTTGGCCATCTGGGTGATCATCTAATACATGCTCGGCCCCAAGAACAGCACTCTATACACAAAGCCAAGAGGACAGAGGCTAGGGAGACGGCTGGTCAGGCTGGACCCCTAGCTCTGCCCCTTATCTGGGGGCCCCTATTGTGTGACTTAGACAAGACATTCAATCTCTCTGAGCCTGTTTCCTTGACTGTAAAAGAGTGGGACATCACTACCTCCACGAATACTTGTAAGGATTCACAAAGACAGTGCAGGGGGACATGTGTGGCTCACGGGACGCAGCCCCTGCCTCTCAGCCAGGATGTTTTCCACAAGCTGTTGAGAAGCACAGCGGGTGCAGGGAGGCCGTGGGAAAGCTCTTTGGCCATATGCCTGTCCCAGGTCGTGGAGGAAACTTTCCCTGCGCCAGGGGGGGGATTCAGAAAACTCCCAATGGACCTCTGACCAGGGTGGGGCCTTTTCTGGAACTTGGGGACCTAAACAATAAAAGTGGCTAGGGTGGGAGCCACCGGCCTCACGGAACACTCATGAGAGCTGCCTCCTGCAGAGGAAACCCGGCCCAAGCCCCAGGGAGGCCAGCAGGAACAGAGCCACCAAACCCTCCTATCAGCAGGACATCCAAGTCATTAGATCTCTCCAGAAGTCAGCCAGCCAGCCAAGGACCAGGCCGTACTCACACCCAGGCTCCAAGTCAGCTGAGCGGCTGGAGTCCCTGACCAAATGAGTTCAAGGCCCACTCAGAAAAACAGTTAGCATTGGGAACACTGACACTTCCAGTCCAGGCACCTGCCAACCAGCTGTGTGACCTTGGACAGGGGACCTCACCTCGCTGAGCCTCTTTTCGTATGCTTAACTCTCCCTGCGGCTGCGGTGAGGATCCGGCCAGAGCAGCAGGGTTAGAGCTGGAATCCCAGCTCCTCTACCTGCTCCCTGGGGAAAGTTACTTCACTTTCCGTGCCTCCGTGTCCCCATCTGCCCAACAGGGATGATAACAAGCCTTCTTCCTAGACTTCGGGAGGCTTCACCACGTTAATGCATGCAGCGTGCTTAGGAGCAAACACGAAATAAGCATCAACGAAGAGTCCTTCATTCACCAAGATTGTCGAGGCCCTGTTGGTAAGCTAAAGGGACACAGGCCCGCTCCTGTGACGCTTAGAGTCCAACAAGGGAGACAGACATGAAGTGTCCCATTGCTAAATGTACAATCAAAGCCATGACAACTCCTTGGGAAGTACAAACACAGTCTTATGAAAGAGGTAACAAAAGGAAGACCCTCACCCAGCTAGCGGGCCAACAGTGGCTCCCTGGAGAAAGCAGAGCTTGAGTGAAGATCTGAAGGACGAAGAACCAGGTAGGCAAAGGCAGGGGTGCGGAGGAAGGCTGGAAGAGCATTCCAGGCAGAGGGAATAGCATGTGCAAAGGCCGTGCTGTGAGAGAGAACGTGGCGTATGAGAGGAACCACGGGTGCCGAGGAGGGAAGGGCGCTGGGGACTGGAGAGGCTGCAGGGCCATGCGGGCCACGAGGAGGGGTCGGTTTTTAACCTGGGAGCCCAGAGCGGCCACAACAGAGTTTGAAAAGCTGGTTAGAGGGAAAGGACAGCTCACAGCAAGACCAGTTAGAGGCTATTGTGGTCAAGTTTATGAGACACACTGATGCCTTGGACCAGGGTGGTCAGGGGGATCTAGGAAAGCAGGCAGACAGAAAGAGGTATCGGGGTGATGCTTCGGGTTGGGCCTGCGTGGGTAGCGAATCCCATGCCCTGAGAGAGACTCAGGAAGGAGACCAAGTGCTGAGGGGGTAAGGTGGGCCAGGGATGCAGGGAGAGACGCGCCATCAGTTTGATCTGTTTTTACATTAAACTTGGGAAGCGAACGCGAGGGTCATAGAGCTGGGGGGCGGGGGGCGGGGCAGAGAGAGCCCTTGTCCCAAGGACTTATAGTTTGCTAGGTTGGATAAAGGAGTTCCATATTGATTTGGCAGGAACAGTGGTGCATGTTCTTCCACGGGAGGGCGTGGCCTCCTAAGATGGGTGGAGGTCTGTTGACTCAGATCCTTATCTTGCTCCAGATCAAGTCTTGTCATCTGTTGTTGTAAAAACAGATACTTGGCTGGAGGCAGTTCATCAAAGCTAGTGAGCAGCTTTTCCTGTAGGCACTGTGGGCCCCCTCCCACCCGTCCACCTTCGCCTACATTTTCTAACTTCTACCTAAGATTCCCCCCCTCAAGCATTAGGTCCTTGGGGACCTTGGGGTGATGATTGCTCTGGCTGCTTCTTATAAAGGGATGCTGAGACTTCTTTGGGTTCCATCTGCTTGCTAACTATTGATTGGGGGAGGTGGAGGGAAGTGTCCATCCATTGGCTCGTGATAGGTGCCTGGAGATTGGGGTCCAAGGGATCGGTAGTTGTCCATGATGATCATTTGTAGCTTTATAGCCTCTATTTGCATTCCAAACGGCCGGAGACAGGGTGTAATCTGAGTCACGGTACCAAAATATTACCAGAGTCTCAGTTCTTACTGATGCCGTGAAGAACCAAAGGTCAGCAAGCTGATTAATGCACAAGCAGGCTTTATTAGTGATACATTCTCAGGNACCCAACTGCCCAAACCAGAGATGGGGGGCCTCCCCCCACAACTCTATCTCCCTTGTCCTCTTCCCACCATACTGGGCAATGTACCTATAAGAAGCCTGGCCACAAAAAGCCCAGTAAGGAGGATGAGCTCAGGCTTTGGAGCTCGAAATCCAGGCCCCTTCTTTATCTGCCATCTCCTGGACAGGAACTGTCCCCTCTGAAGACCTCCACATGCTTGTCAGTAAAACTCAGTATTTTCTTTGCAAGGTACAGAGAAGAACACATTAGACTAATTATGTGTCCTGGAAAAGACGGACTTAAGCCAGATGGCCTGGGTTTGAATCCAGCTCTGTTATAAAGGCTATGTGACCTTGGGCAAGTTACCCACCCTCTCTGTGTTTACTAGGTCTGCTGGTTTGAGAAACACTTTGTACGGACTAAGCAAGGAGCAATAGAAGAGGTCAGGGAGCTTCTGCAGGCCTTGCAGAACTTTAAGGGCCACGTGCGGACTTGGGCTTTGACCCCGAGCACGGTGGCAGGGATTGTGGGAGGGCCTGAGAAGGGATTGAGCTGATCTAACTATGTTTTAAGACAATTGTTCTGACTACAGTATTGTAGGGATGGTAGATGGGGGAGGCCAGAGTGGACACCTGGAGACCAATCAGGAAGCCACTGCCGTGGTCCAAGTGAGAGACTGGTGGTGGCTCAGAGCACAGCGGTGACAGGGAAAAGAGGACAGCCAGATTCAGAATGCTCCTTGGAGAAAGGGCTGACAGGGCCCCAAAGGAGACTGAGAGTCAGGAGAAGCCCCTGGAGAGGGTGGGATCACAGGAACTGAAGGAGGATGACCTGGGAGAAAACCATCAATGGAGGTTCAAGTCACAGAGGCAAAAAAAGAGGCCACTGGATTTGGGTCACAAGCCACACGCTCCCCTCTCAGCCCTGGTCCACCCCCATCAGAGAGTCCTCCAGGGCTGTCTATACCCAAGTGTGACATCAACTCCCTGCTCCCCCTGCCTGACCTGTAGATCAAACTCCAGCCAGTACCCACATCCGCCTCCAGGAC